CCGCGCGGCCCCCCGCCCCCTGCGCCGCCGCCAACCCGGAAGGAGCCCGGGGCCGGGCGCCCCCTCCAGGAGGCCTGCTGGTGCTCACCTGAGTCCGCAGCCCTTTTGGGAGCGGGACGCAGCTCCGAGGTGCCCTCCCACATGTTGCAGATGGAGAAACTGGGGCTCGGGCCCACGGTCGCAGAGGTAGCCAGGACCCCAACCCAGCAGGCCTGAGCGGATGATGGGTGCTCCACACTTCTCACCCTCTTCACGCAATCCAGTTCCCGAGCCATGCAACAAAGGCGAGAGCAGTGTGTGTCACTGTGTGGGGAGCATGTCATCTCCGCTTCCCTGTCTCAGCTGAATCTTCAGATCTTTCTGTGCAAGGTGCGAACGGCTCTCCCCATTTGCAGATGGGAAAAATGATGCCCAGGCCCTCGTGGTTGCCTTGGGAGGCCTGGGTTGGTCCCATAAATACCAACTCTCCCATTTTACAGATGGAGAAGCTGGGATGTCAACCACCTAAAGCATCTGGGCAGCAGCTGGCAGAGCCAGAATTTGAACCCACATCTAAGGAGAGGTGATAGCTCTTAACTAAAACTGAGGAAAAGCATACAGGACACCTTGGTACGGGCTCCAGTTTCACCATCCGTAACAAGAGAAGGATTGGCTGGGAGTGGAATTTCTTCATCTGGGGACATGGATGAACTTCTGGGAGGAGGGCTGTGTGTACCTCAAAGATGTACACAAGTGTGTGTGGACAAGTGCCGTGTACATGTGCACGCATGTGATGTGTGTCTCTGTAATAAGAGTGTGTGTTTGGGGGAAGAACCAGAATTCTCGTTGTCAAAGGAGACCTAGAACCCCCTAACTTCCCAACACAGTCTCTAGGCTGACTGTTCTCCTGCACTGGTGTGTGGGAGGCAACCTGGGACAGAGGAGCCCCTTGCCGGGTTCAGGGATGAATGGGGGTCTATTCTCCCCATGAGGCATCCACATCCAGAACCCCCGGGGGAAGACACTGGAAACCCTCCCACAGAAGGGATATGTCAGCCCCAGTCTGATTCCTAGAGCTGCATCTCCTGGACTCACAGAGTAGCAGCACCAGGTCCCGGCCTGAGTTAGGACGGGGGAGACATCGACAATGTGCACAACTGCAAGAAGCTGCTGCCTTCTCCCAGGGGACTGGGAGTAAGGGCTGGGCTCAAACTCTCCCTCTGGTAGCTTGGACAAGTCTTGCCCCTCTCTGAAGCTGTTTCTCTTCTGTAAGGAGGACAGCTGCATGTTCCTTACAGGGGTGTGGACTGAATGGAGATATCCCCTGCTGCACATGGTCCCCCCAGAGCTTGTTACTTCCTTGGATGGCATCACAACTATGCCTCTTTGGGGAGCTGCCTCTTTTCCTCCATGTGAGATTGGGCTCTTATTAAGTGCTGTCTCTCTGACCCTGAAGAGTTGAGGTTTTGTGTTTCTCTGGTTAGCTCTTGATTTTGACACAGCTGGATGACGTCACTCCACCCCTGTATGACTTGTCACTCCTAAGGGGCTATGTCCCAGCAGGATCCCAGGTCTGCCTGAAGCCCTGGTCAAGTGCCCAGGATTAAACCCCATTACCCCAAGGGACACTTTAAAGACTGTGCAGCTGTTTAGGAAGGACAGGCACTGGCCAGTGGCTTCTGTCCTTGGGGGTTCCTTGGAGGGACCGAGAGGCATCTGGACCCCAGATGGGTACCACAGACTGTGGAGGCACCACCAGTTCTGGTAGCCATGTGTCTGGGATGCTCTTGTGGTGAATGGCATCCACGCCCCTTAACCAGTGACACTGAACTTGTAGGAGCTTCAGGCAGCTGCGGAAGATCCAGTTCCCAGCAAGGGACCCTCTCTGTAAATGCTGTTATCCAGTTTTCACAGCAGAGAGTGGCCTGCCCTTGCTGAGGCTGGGATGCCCTGGTCTGGGATATTTGTAACTATAGTCAGATCCTGAGTCAGTGCAGCCTGGTGGTTACTGCACAGACTTGGTAGCCCGTAGATCCGGGTGTCCATTCCAGAGTGACCACCGAGAGCTGCATGACCTGCGACAAGACCCTTCCCCTAGCCAAATTTTCTTGCCTGAAAAAAACAAACTATAGGATCTCTTTATGATCGATTCCCTTGGCTTAGCAGTCCATGCTCCCAGGAGAGTGTAAAGCTCCCCATCTCCCTGTGGTGTTCCCTGGGCACAGTGACTTCCCCTGCTTAAGGGTTCTCTTTCCTGGTGGATTTTAGCCTGCTTTCTGGTTCTGTCTTGCCCTGAATGGAAACGCAGGGAATGCTGCAGGGGCCAGAGATGTGGTCACTTGAGGTTTCAGTGTTCGCTGAGACAGAGGAACGGGGCCGGCTGGCTTGAGGTCTCAGGGCCTGTCCCTGCATGTGGAGCCTCCCCCACTGGGAGCCTGGTCCCTTCCACTGCCAAGGCCAGACCACAGCCGCCAGTAACGACAGCAGCTTCCGTTCCGAGAGCTGACTGTGTGCCAGGCGCTGTGCTAAGCATTTTGCTTGCATTGTCTTTTGCCCTCTTCACTCGCTGCCACCGGGGAGGCAGCCTTATTGTGTCCAGGTGTGCGGCTCAGGGGCTCGGGGGGCTCTCCCAAGGTCCAGGCTGGTGAGTGATGGGTGCCATCCTGAGTGCTGCCCGCCGGAGCACACTGCCACCCTCTGGCCAAGCCCTGCGGGGGGCTTCTTTGGGGGAAAGAAAGAACTTGGCTGTCATTTGGCTCCCATCTGGGGCAGAAGCAACCAGCTACAACACATGAACACATGCGCAGACCAGGACCCACGCACTTGAGGACCACACAGGGACACGCCCAGGCACTCTCCCCTGGAACTGGCCACGGGGTCTGGGAAACAGCCCCTCTGGTGCAGATTCGCTGACCCGTCCCCCGGCCTAGTTCAAACAGGAAATGCTTTTCTCCTAACAAACAAACCTGAGCTGCAGCCTCCTTCCCCTGTGAACTCCCTGTGGCTTCAGCTCAGGGTCTTTGTCCTCCTGCTGTGTACCAAGGAATACCCTCCTCAGCTTCGGGGGCAGGGTTTGCCCTAAATGCCTGTGCTCGTCACAGGCCAGTGGCCCAGGCGCCTGTGATCAGGACCCAATTTATAGGGGAGGAAGGAGCCTGAACGAACCGCGGAGCCTGGAGCAGCAGCCCTCAGGGGCCCAGGCCTGATGTTGGGGCAAGGTCTGAGGCCATGAAAGGGAAGGGCCTGGGAGCGCAGTCTTCAAAACTCTGCTCAAAGGGCAGGGCCGAGGGCAGCGCCTTCCCCGCTTCTTCCAGGTTAGCGAACAATGTGGGCTCTCTGTGCCTTTGGGGAAGGTGGAGGGGTTTGCCTTGCAGCTTCTCAGCCTGGAGCCAGCAGCACCCCACTGGGCGAGACCGGTGCAGAAGCCTCAGAGCCTGCAGCTGCCCGCTGGAATTATTTATGCTCCACGGAGCTGCCTTTCTCACCCAGATCCTTCCTTCTCTGAGAATGGGGACGGGGCCTGGAAGGGAGTGAGGGCAGGAAGGAAGCTGTCGGAAAATCATAAATTAGGGCTTTGGGAGGACCTTTCCACCCTCCCCAGGAATCTTGAGGGGAGAGTTCAATATCTTTTGGGGGTGGCAGTAACGGAGGGAAGACACCAGAATGACAGGGCCGGACACAAGCAATCATAGCAGGACAGGGAGGAGCTGTCAGGGTTAGGAGACCTGCATGATCTGTATCATCAAGGCAGTCCTTTCTCTGTGGCCTCAGTCTGCCCAGCTAGAAAATGATGATACGAGGACGTGGAGACTTTTGTTTTGTGACTGTGGTTTGTTCACTGCAAAGGAATGGGGAAATGAGAGCTCTCCTCTGCTCTGTGTGTTCCCTTCCTCAAGAACCTTTCCCCAAATCCTTCCTTTGCAGTTCCCAACCGCCGCTGCCTGTGACCCACCCACCTTCTCTGGAGTCCTTTACTTCTCTTTCCACATCTCTCCTGCAAAAGTGAATTATTATTATTATTCAGCACCCACCTATCTAGTAGTAGAGCGAAGGGCTGTTGGCTCCTTCGTACGACAGTGTGAATGACGTTTTAGTGTTATCTAATGATGGGAGGGTGGGGCCTTCACAGAGATTCCTCCTCATTTAAACCCTCAGTCAAGCCGGGCATGGTGGCGCACGCCTGTGATCCCAGCACTCAGGAGGCTGAGGCAGGAGGATCGTCGCAAGTTCGAGACCAGCCTGTGATACAAAGTGAGCTCAAGGCCAGCCTGAACTGCGTAGCAAGACCATCTCAAAAAGACAAAAATAAATAAATAAATAAATAAATAAATAAATAAAATAAGATAAACCCCCAATCACTGGTAGTAGGATTTCAGCCTGGTAGGGGGAACATTTGGTTACCAGAGTCCTAAGAATATGGTCCTCAGAGTACGGAGGTGTCTGCCTCCTAGCCCTGCTGAGGAGAAGCCCAGTACCCGCTGGGTGTGTCCCAGGTGGCAGCTGTAAGTCTCTGGGGTTAGATGGATCCGGAGGAGTGCAGGGCAGGAAGAAGACCAGCTCAGAGCCGAGACCATAGAGCTGCTCATCAGCTCTTCCAGCCCTGGGTGGCACCTGCTGGGGTGTGAGTACGTTCCCCCCGCCCCCCACAATGAATGCTCTTTATTTCTGGGAAGGGACTTCTGAAAGGAACAGCAGCCGGGAGAGAGAGAGAGAGAGGGAGAGTCAGACAGAGCTGCGGTGAGAAAGGCTGAAAAGGGGCCACAAACCAGGAAGCCAGAGATGGAGGGAGAACATTGAGCCAGGGAAATGTAGGGGGCAGATGGAAAGTCAGGAAAAGGGACAGACTGGCAGACAGATGCAGAAAGAGAGGACTTTGGGACGAG